GAGAAAGATGAGGCTTTCTGCTCCCATAAAGATTTACAGCCTCAGAAACCCTGTACAGGGTCGCTATGAGTCGGAACCAACTCCACGGCACATAACTACCACCACCATTGTAGTGCGCAGTGAATCTGTAGAATAAGCACTGCTCTTTGAACCACAAGATCAGTGGTTCAACCCTACCAACTGCTTCATGGTCGAAAGATGAGTCTTTCTGCTCCCAAAACAATTTACAGCCTCGGGAACCCTATACAGGGTCATGACAAGTTGGAACCTTTTCTATGGCACTTAAAAACAACTGCATTATTAAATTTTAATTGGTGATCTTTAAGTTTTGATGGTAATGAATACATCAGCTCCAAAGATCATAAAACAGCAGCTACCAGATTCTGAACATTTTCTATGTGCCAGGAGCTGTAAGCACAAAAGCATATAAGTATGTAAGCACAAAAACAGCACTATTTCATTTAATCCTCAAAACCACCCAAATAGGGAGTACAAAACTCTAGATTTTAGTGATGAGGAAACTGAGGTTTTGGAACGTCAGTATCTATCTAAGGTCAAACAATTATAAAGGCCATGATTTCAGTCTAGGTTCCATACACTAGTAAGCTATAAAACCTTTTAACACTGCTTCTATTCAGGGACAACTCCACAGAAATCAGAAACTCCTAGGTAACAGAACACAGCATTATTTTTTTGAGTGTCATTTATGTCTAAATTGGATAATTACCACAGAATATAATACAATGATGGAAATAATGGTTATGCTTTCTATTCTTAAAACACATTAATTTACAAAAGACAGTAGTTTCAAAATAAGTATTATCTTATTATATACACATATAAATGTGTCCAAAGGAAGTTACATGACTTGCCCTAGAGTTGCACATGAAACATTATAATACATGAAGAACCTAACCCTAAAACTTGTCTCTCATGAGGTATAACCTATGATAAAGTCTACCTTCTCCAAGTCTTCCACTTTGAAAAATATTTTTTCAGTAATAAATTTATGGAAATTTGAAAAAGTCACTTAAGAAAATTTTAACAAAAATGACAAAATTGATGTTAAGCAAATGCTATGCCTCAAGGTTTGGTATGATCATAGGCTAAAATGACAAGTTTGGACTTCTTCAATTGTAGTTTTAATAAAAGGGACTTGCAAGATCAAGAAAATATCACAAGATAAGGGAAGTATAGATGTGAAATATGTAGGGTGGGGAAGAAAAGAAATAACACTCATAAAAGTTCTATAGAGAAATGACACAGGAAGAGGTACAAAGGTTGGAAGGCTTTTGGAAAATAAAGTCAATATAGCCTAGTGGCTAACCATACAAGTGCTGGCTACTGCCAGATAAGTTGAATGACCTTAGATAAATCACTTTTCTTTAGTTTCCTCATGGTCAGCAGTTAGAAACTACTATTGGTTCCCCGGGAGAAAGATAAGACTTTCTGCTCCCGTAAAGATTTACAGCCTCAGAAACCCTATGCAGTGTTGCTATGAGTTGGAACCAACTCTCCGGCACACCACCACCACCACATAAAGGCAATAATAGCAATACCTTCTTCAAATGTTGTAACATGGAGTAAATGTGATAATACAAGGGGGCTTCAAAAATTTCATAGGAAAATGGAATTACAACATAACAGAATTTTTTCTGAATCTTTTTGAAGACCCCCTCCTATATGTAAAAGGAGTTCTGGTAGCAGTGGTTACGAATCGGGCTGCTAACCTCACAGTCAGCAGTTAGAAACTACCAGCTGTTCCGCGGGAGAAAGATGAGGCTTTCTACTCCCATAAAGATTTACAGCCTCAGAAACCCTGTACAGGGTCGCTATGAGTCAGAACCGACTCCACAGCAAATAACAACAACAAAAAAACAATATGTAAAACTTAACACAGTGCTTAGCATATGTTGTTAAATGTCGTCAAGTCAGCTCTGGAGCGATTGGTGGGTTTGAACCACCAACCTTTCCATTAACAGTTCAGTGCTTATCCTACAGCATGACACCAACCCTAGCACATAGTTGTTATTACTTATTACGACAAAAAAACAGAAGGGGAAAACACAATGGCATGGCCTCCAGTTTTCTGCAGAGATCTACTGGGTTCTTCCTAAATTCCAAACTATAGGAATCCAATCTGACTCCCAAATGATAGGTACAATGTGGAAGATTCTATTTATGATGTGAAAAGGTAGCATTACTATTATTCTTTAGTGTGGACTTCAAAGACATTTTTGCATTTATCCAAGATGTCAACAGCAAATAAGGGACAAGAACAAATATAAACAACCCAAGCCACAGAAATGATGTAAGTTTTGATTCCCACACAAACTTTCGTTCTAAGTAGATCTTTTATTAAACCGAAGCCAAGTCTGAATTTTGATATATAGAATACTATTTTATTCTTTTATTTTAAACCTCTCTTACATGTTTAAAAATATACAGTGATTCAGAACAACCTCAATAAAACAATAACAATTCTACTAAAGATTCTCCAAAGTCAAACCACCAGAACACAAACATGGTTGGCTTCGATATGAAGAGTCATAGGCACATTTCATTAAATGCATTTCATAAAACAAAGAAATCAAAAATGCTGAGGAGAAAAATTCTCAGTAGTTTGATATAAATTTTAAAATATCTTTCAGAAACTTAGAGTAAAAAAGTAAGATTTAGATGTTTTACTGCTCACACCTGCTGTATTAGCAACTTCCCAGATGCCCATTTTGCTGCATCAAAACCCCTGGCAATTTATTACACTATCTTGTGTACCACACTAAAAAATAAACTACTTTAATCTCTAAATCTAAAAACAGATTTGTACAAAAGAAAATACTGACAGTTCTTACCTGTATTCGATAGCTAGTTATATTGTATTCTCAGCAGCAATTAGAATGCAGCTTGGTCTAATATAAATATCTAAACAACTACACAAAGTATTTTTCCTTTAAAGGAAGTTCTGTATATATATTTCCAATTTGAGAGCTTAAACAACATTGATCTATTATTGTGCTAAGAAAACAGCAGGCACAAACCACATAATAGAATTTACATTTTCTTTGCTGTAAAAAATATAGTATATGCATACACATATCACACAAACGACTGGCAGACACAAAGGTAAGTTAATGTAGATGGAAACCAAAATGATTAATATTTTACTTAAGAAAAAAAAGAAGACATTCTAAGCAGCATTAAGAGTGATATCCCACTGCTTGATGAGTGCCATGCATATGAATTAAAATTATTTGTGGGGCTTCTTAAGGAAAAACAAAACAAAACAAAAACGCTTTACTACAGCAAAAGACATCATTTTAGGCACATGAACTAACTTTAAAAGAACCAGATAAAATGTTTCCAAGCCATTAAAATTGTTTAACACAATCTCCCAAACAGGATACTAGATTGCTTTGTTGGAAGGAATAAATTATTTAACACTATGATTGCTTTATACAGTAGATTCCTTCATTAGCTAAGACACTTCAGGATTAAGGTACCAAAGGAAGCAAGTCAAGGAAAATGGACAGGAGAAAAGGAAAAAAAAAAAAAGTAGGCTTTTAGGAAGAGGATGAAAGAAGGAGTCATTTATCACGAAAGAAAAAATAACACTGCTTTTCTTTTTGTTTGTAGCAGAAAACTTGTGCTGCAGAGAACATTACAAAAACAAGCAAAGGGGCGCTTGGCAAGAACACTTACTAGGTACCCTTCAGGGAGACACCATCTACAGATAGTAGATTATTGTGTTTAAAAGTACACTTTGATGCAAAAGGTTGTACTTTGCCACATATATAATATGCAGCATTTTTCTAGAAAGGGAAATGTGTATAAGTAATAGCTTTCACAAACACAAAGAGAATGAGTGACAAAGATAGAAAGAGAGACAAAGACAAGGCAGAGAAAGTTCACTCAGAGAGGGAGAGATGCAGAGGTTTGCTCAGATGTGTCCATTACTTCATGTCCTGTGGAAGATTTGAGATACTTTTTTCATCCTTAGTGCTTAATTTTTCTTCTTACTGCACATCTATACTCACATGCTATCATTACCTCATGAGATTAACCTCTACACATCCTTTAGCTGTTTTTTTCCATGAAAAGGGCGGGAAAATAGAAGAAATCTTTAGTTTCATCCTTCATTTCACAATTATTCAGGCAAATATTTCTCTGGTGGCAAAATTCCAAATGCAATCAGGAATACAACACAAAACCACTGTCAGATTACATTTGATTTACTGTGCAGGCTCTTCAAATGGAGCAGGAATTAGCCCGTTTCCTTGGCTTGGGGTCTCGTGCTTCCTGATCTTTCACACACATGCATGATGTGCACATTGTCTCAGACAGTCTTCGGAGGCCTAGCCGGAAAACACTATTTGAGAGGCTATATATTACACAGTTACAGAAACTATTACTTATAGCAAGCCAGGTTGTGAGGAAGGATAGTGTCGGGTTGTCCAAGACCCGGGAGCTTTCTAGAAGAAAGTAAATGATATAAGGGAGCCACAGAATGTAAAATACACTGGTTATCCGAAATAAAACCATGGCATAGCGACGGTCAGGGCTATGTCCAGTCTCTCCAGAGGCATCCACTTCATGACTTGGGAAACGAGCCCTTCGATCATTTATCTCTTTGGTGTGCTGCCGGCAAATTTTGAAAATGTGGAAGTAAGTGAAGCAGACAACAAAGGCAGCGGGAGCATAAAGTAAACAAACAATAAAACCAGTAAAATAGGCACTGGTGAGCCATGAGGTGGCACACCATTCAAAAATGTCACCGTGGTAACCAGGTTTCCCCCAGCCAAAAAAGGAAGGCAAGAAAATTAGGCAAGAGTAGATCCAGATCAAAATGATGCAAATTCTCAGGCGACAAGGTGTGACCAGTTGATTGTAGGAAAGAGGCTTGGTTATTGCAAGGTAGCGATCCACACTGATGCAAGCCAGACATGCCATAGAAACACTTTTTAGAACGGAAATGATATATCCAAACACCTGGCAAGTCAATGACTCGTGAACGCCTGTGGAATAGTGGAGAAGTGAGAGAGTAGGAACCAAGCAGCTAACTCCAACGAAAAGATCAGCATATGCCATTGTCTGAATGAAATAGCTGGTAGTATAATGGTGTAAGAGTGGAGCACAGTGAAAGACAAAGATGACAGTTAAATTCCCAGCAATAATAAGAAAAGTTAGCAGGACAATAACAACTGTCTCAAAAATGCAGACGTCCACTGCACTGTATTGGCCAAATCCCAGTGGGCAGGAGTGATGCTCAGATACATTCACAATGCCACTGCTCATGTTCAGGATCCTCCGTTCCGTCCACCTAGATTCATTCATGGCTTGGGAATAAGGAAACCTGCTGCTTCCACTATAGCAAGCAGGTGCCTGGCCCAGCAGCTGTTAAACTCTGCACACGAATGTCTCAGAATCTGCCTTGGTAGACAGTATCAGAGCTTCTGTCACAGCTGAGCATCCCAGAGAACTGCTCAAGTCTCTTCATCAGCCTCAGCGCAGCAGTGACACACCTCAGCTTTGAGTGGGTAAGGAGGGGAACAAGCTAGAAAGGGGGTGAAAAAAGGTCACTGATTAGCTTCTGCCAATGCTCTCAAACTACTTTTTGCAGAGACAAGGCATTTCTAGAGAAAACAGATTTCTTATTACCTTACACCACAAAAACATTAAATCTGTATAAAAAAAAAGGGGGGGGGGCGAGTTGTGTGTGGTGTGGAGAATACCTAGTTACCAGAAAAGAAAAGCTTCTGTGGGTTGTTTGTTTTCCTGAAAAAGGTAGTTTCTTGAGAATCAATTAGAAAGAATGAGAAAAAGAAAGTCTTAAGTTGCCTTGGTTTTGCTGTTTTAACAATGATTAAGTGTGGATTCATATTTTAGAATTTAAATAATTAAGATTTCATATTTAGATGGAAACCTAAGAAAAAGTTCACTGTGGCAAACGGGATCTTTAGACTCAGTTCAGGGTTTGATGCTGGTGGGTCATCTTCATGATCTATTGCTCTCATCTTTTTAAGAGCTAAGAAAAATAATGCATCAAAGTTAATTCCACAAGATGCCTCTCTATAGGGGCACAAAGGAGCAGAACCAAGCTGCCCTTTAACTCTCAGGAGAAAAAAAGATGCATTTCAGGAAGAGAAGATAATATACAAAGGTTAATACCCCTCAAAAGAAAGATGGACTTTTGAAGTTTGAAGTCTGTATGCATATTTTTTCTAAGCATTCTGATTAAAACAATTTTAGTCTTTTACAGTTACTGTGCTATTCGCAGTAATTAAATTTATGTCTCTTCCTTTTCAAAAAGAAAAGCACTCTTTATTGCTATTAATTTCAGCATCATAACTGAAAAAACTTTATCGCATATGCTACCTTCCATATAATAAAGCTTGATAAAATGTATAGCCCAAAGTTGTTTCTCCCCTTTGCAACCATACCTGTATCTCATATATATGTAAATATATACGAAATTTAGAAAACAATAGGAAGTTTCCTACACACTCTGAACTGATAGAAATGTTGCCATTATTTATTACTTAGATATTTAAGGTAGGCTTCATATTCTATGTTATTATACCTATTCACTAGATGATTAACATGTTAAATTCTTACTTCAACTGAATTTTCTAAAAGTGGAAAATTACCTTGTTTGTTATATTTGCAGTTATGTAGCAGCCATATGTTAAGAAAATGCCTCTTCTATTTTTGTATTCTATTTTGAGCAAGTGCTCAATTAATACAGGGGCCATTAGGTAGGTTACAAGATGGTCTTGTTTTAAAATGTCTCTAAAATCGTCAAGATGAGTTTAAATCCTAGAGTTTGAAATACTGAAAAGCTGGCAGGCTAGAATGAAGCAATCCATCAAAAAGGCTTCCAAGGTCATTCTGATAGCAGATTAGCATTTGTCAAAAGTCTTTTTTTAAGTACAGGCATTTCTCAGAGTCTTGTCAGTCTTCACTGTTACACCTTTTGAAGAAATAATGTGCACTAGAAAGAAAACCATTTCCTTCAGGAACAATGCAGCAGCTTAATAGAAAGCATTCTTCTGAAAGTTATTTTCTCCGTGCACCACCAAGTCATGCAAGGAAGTCCTTCTTCTTTTATAATATCCACAGGATATTCTTCCTTGTGCATTCCAGTTTCACTTATCACAAAATAGTTCTCTTGTTACAAGAATAAGGTAATGCTTCTCACCTACATTCACTCTTATCAGCTGCTAGGCTGGGCTGCTTGATTCAGAAGTCCGATTTACTGTGATGCAGTTACAAGGATGCCATCAGTATATTCTTCACAATCTCTCAGTATCACTGCCCCCACCTGAGCCGGAGCCCTGCTCCTCCTCCTCATCCCGACTGATGCAGAAGAACTCACCATCAAAAAGGTGACTCGGTCCTCCTGCCCCAATCGACAGCACAGCCAATGGCTACTGCAGCTGAAACTGTCACTAGGTAACAGTTGCCAGGCACATGCAGGCTTATAGACTTACTCGGCAAGCTCCGATCAAGATTGACAAAAGAAGACAATGGAACTGACCGATCCTCATAATATATTAATGGCATATAAGAACTTCTGGAGACATTCTCCTTATAGCATTTGCAAAGATTATATCCTCTGGCCAGAATAGGGCAGAAGAAGAAGAAAAAAAAATCCAAAACTGGTCATACACCTTTAAACCCTGTAGAGGAACTACAACAAGGTACTATGACACTAAAAAGTCAGCAGTAATCTAATGCTCATTGGCAGAAAAAACTTATTAATTATTAAAAAACAGTCGACTCTTCGTAAGTTCAAATGATATGCCTTATATTTTCTCTTTAAAATAGTTATATTTTTATTAATAGAAATTAAGTCATTTCTTAATCTCTCCAATATTTGCCACACCCACACAAAATTTCTAATTTTGATGTATTTAATTACACAATGCATTTGAACTAACACAACTATACTAAAATCAATTTGGGGACATACTGAAGGTCAAATAAGATTCAGAATAGTAAGGGCATTAGATACCGACAGAATCACTATTAAATCTACTTTTGATTTCCTAACAGAAAAAAGGGTCCAAGGTTCAAAAAGTTTGTCACACAATGTTTGAACTATACATACCCAAGTTAGAAGTAAATAATGCTCAAATACTTGATGGAAGTTATACACAATTCCATTTGTTCTGACTTACAAACATCCACTATTTTAAACAAGTTTCTTATAGGATCAGTACTTTTCTTAAAAGTGACTTGTTGTTAAGTGCCATAGAGTTGGTTCTGCCCCACAGCAACTCTACATAGAGTTTCCAAGGAGCAGCTGGTAAGTTTGAACCGCCAACCTTGCAGTTCAAATCAACTTTGCAGTCCAGTGCCACATCAGGACACCATTGTTGTTGTTGTTAAGTGCAGTCGAGTAGGTTCCAACCCATAGCAACCCACAGGAATGGCTGGTGAGCTTGAACTACTGACCTTGCAGTCCACACCAGTTTTGCATTAACCCACAGAGCCACACCAAGACTCAAAGGTGACTCAGAAATAATTAAATAAATTAGGAAAATAAAGGTTGAAATTGAAGGAAACTAACACTTGTTGAGCATGTTCAATGTGCCAAGCAATGAACTATGTGCTTTATATATTTTTTCACTATAAAAGCTTACATTCTCTATGAATGAAGCAGCATCACTGCCACTGTTGTAAAGAAGAAAGCAAATACTAGAGAAAGTAATCATAACTTGCCTGTAACTATCAAGTTGTAAAACCAGGATTCAAACAGGTCAAAATTCTCATTCGCAATACCACAGAGATATAGTGTTTGCTGCCAGTCAGTAAATGTCTAATAATCATTTTCTATTTCAGGAACATTATTTATAAAGACTAAAAAGCCCTATGATTTCCTCCATGTTGAAATGCCTTAGAAAAATCAGGTTATTATTAAGTTCTTTTGTTAAGGGATTTAGGTGAAAAAGAATGGTGACTGCATTTCTTCAAAATATTTTTTATTTTCTGTATTTTATGTTAGACATGTGAGTGTATACCAAGAATTAATAGAAAAAATTACAAGGCAAATTAAAATAACAATATTCAATGAATATTATGTTTCGGTATGAAAGAAAATATTTATATTTAAGTTTAAAAAAGTAGAAAGTACTTACATAGAAGCATTTTAACCTTTTACCCCTCTGTCAGCTGGTAGACCCACAGTGACCCTATTGTTGTCATTAAAAGTTAAATGTTGTTGATTCAGTTCCAACTCATAATGACCTTGTATTCCAAGGTTGTAAATCTTTATGGGAATAGAAAGTCTCATCTTACTCCCACAGAGCGGCTGCTGGATTTTGAACAGCTGACCTTGTGGTTAGCAGTCCAGTGTTTATCTACAGCACCACCAGGGCTCTTCAGTGACCTTATGGATATACCTAGGAGCATGAAAAATCAAATAATGTCTTATCAAAAATTCTCTTGTACAGGAAGTATTCAAGATAAATCTGTATCGGATAATATTGGTGACTATAGACAGGTCGCACATTCCACATGAAAAAGAAACAAACAAATCAAAAACTCACTACCATTGAGTAAATTCTGACTCCTAGTGACCCTATGAAGGATTTCTGAGACTGTAAATTTTGACGGAAGTAGACAGCTTCATCTTTCTCCCATGGAACAGCTGGTATGTTTGAACCACTAACAATGACGTTGGCAGTCTAACACGTAACCCACAGCACCACACAAAGACAAGCTAACCAGTAAGTTGTATTGCAAAAAATGAATGAAAATAAAATGCTACCAATTACCAAGCTACCTGAAGTCACCAAAATATCAACAAATTTTAAAAGTATTGTTATTGAGTGCTATTGAGTAGATTTTGACTCATAGTGACCCTATATAGGGCTTCCAAGAATTGGCTGGTAGGTTTGAACTACCAGCCTAATGGGCAGTAAGTAGTCCAGTGTTTATCCTACAGCACACCGGACTCCTTTAAAAGTATAAACTTCACATAATTTTTTTTAAAGTTTAGAAATATAGTATTTCCAAAATAAATAAAAATGGCAAAAAGAAAAATCCCATTCAATGACATTCAATTACTAGAGTGCTTTAATTTGACAACTTTATTTTGAAAAAAAGGAAAGTATCGGAGTATAAAACTAGTAAATAATCAGTAACTGTATATGCTTCCAAAGGTATATGATATGATAGCCTTCTTTTTTTAAGGAAGCTTCAATGGTTCTATAAAGGTAATTTTATTCTTTGTAGTGACTCTATTAGCCCCTTCCACCACGAGTCTGTAAGTTTGTCATACTGTGCTGTCTTGTGAGTTGGTGTGATTCCGGAATTTATGCCACAGGTATTTTAAATACCTGCAAGG